AAAAAAAAAAAAAAAAAAAAAAAACAGGAAGAGGAGGAGGACGGGGAGGAGAAGAAGGATGGATTTTTAAACTATAAATCTGTGGTATCATTGTCATAAATTAATGCCCAAATTACTGATGGCTTTCTGCGATAAAGCCAAAGAAAATACACAGACACCGAGAAGACACACAGAGCTGAATGGAATATTTGATATGCTCTGTGAATAAATAGTTTTTTCCTACTGCTGCAACAGCAGTGGCAGCAGTAGGAAAAAACTGCAGGAGCAGCAGCAGCAGCAGCAGCAGCAACAGCAACAGCAGCAACAGCAACAGCAGCAGCATCTTTTTGATTTTGAGGAAGAGCTTCTTCACTTCAGTAACTCTCTAATGAGGTTTTTCTGGTGCTTCTTTTCAGCTCTTCTTTTTTGTCTTCTTTATTGCACAGCTTTGATGGCATTAAAGCATTGCTTTTTTGTCTTCTTTATTTCTTATGTGCTGTTAGGTTTCTTCAAAAAAAGAAAGAAAGAAAGAATAAATACTCTTTTCTGCGGTTTATCAATAACTTTAAAACCTATTTGTTTAAATTGTTTTGATGTTTATTCTCTGTTTTTTGTTTTTGTTTTTGTTGTTGTTGTTGTTTATTTGTTTTGTTTTAAGTTATTTTTTTTTTTAATTTAAAATTTAAGTATCATCTGCTAGAAGATTACCAAAAAAAAAAAACACTCAGCAGGCAATAATATAGCTGTACAGATAGACAAATCTTTTTTTTTTGCTTTTTTTCCTCGCTTGGATATATCACAAGAATTTTTTTGAACTAAACTAAGCTTAAACTGAAACCATTGCCGATAACTAAGTGATTTTTGTATTGTTAAGTATACGTTTTACTGTTTTTCAACTGCAAAAAAACTTTTGTCATTTATCAGTCAACAAAATTTCAGTCAACAATTAAACAAAACATTTCTTATGCAAAAAAATTTTTTGATCTTCTTTCTCCTTCTGAAAGTTTTTTTCTTGTAAATTAGTGATTATGTCAGAGAAAGGTTTGTGTAAAGTTAGCTTAATGTAAGAAATAAAACGTCAAATTCTTTTTTTTTTTTTTTGTTCTTGTCGGTTTATTCTTGCCGTACAGTTAATGCCGTATGTTGTCTTCTTTGATTCAATGTAAGCAACTTGTTCTGTTTGCTAATCTTATCGAGAGAGAAAAAAAACCTGTTTTTACCACCACAAAACTTCTATTTTTTTTTGTCGTTTGTTGTATGCTAACTCTTCATTTGTCGATTTTAAATATAATAGAAGTCGAATCTTTATGATAAGCATAAAATCAATTAATACATTTTTTTTTTATTCAGCAAAAAACAAAGCAAA